TATATATATATATATATATATATATATATATATATATATATATATATATATATATATGTTTTCCAACATCGAATTACTCAAATGTATGCTTTTTCTTGCTTTTGTTTGGAATAATATGAGGGCGTTGAAATTTGTTCACAAAGTCTTGTGTAGGAACATAGACTAGAAAATGATTAAAAGAGGTTACCCACGAACTATGTAAACCAAAATTGATGCCCTACTCGAGGGTTCAATTCTTCTTGTCAAACTTCATGCTTTATGCAAATAATTAGTAAATCCAGTTGATTTTCATCGAAGCGAATGAATTATGTGATTGTCAAGCTTTAATGTGAAAATGGTTCAGGAAAAAAATTTGAAAAATGTTTCCGGACTTCAAATTATCGGAGAATTCGAATAAAATTTGATCAATCCCTTTTTTTATCGTTAAGGTGGAACACTGAACGAACCCCTTAGGCATGGGAATGAGGCGGGGACCTCAATCTCCATCCCCGTCCCCGATTACTTATTTTTATCCCCATCCCCGACAGGTAATGTAATCACATCCCCATCCCCAACGAAGAACTAGGGATTTTTTCCGTTTATGTAAGTTATTTTAAATTAAATATGTGAGAGACCATACATATTTAAATTTCAAATATTTTTAATAAATCTAAAACCAAAATGAATTTAATTTAATACAAAAAACGACAACACCATAAAAGAACTAATAATCTAAAACCAAAAAAAATTTGATTTAATGCAAAAATACTTAAATTTACATGTAGCAAAAGATATTGAGTAATATAAAACCATATCGAGTAATGTATAAAATTTATCGAGTAATTGTATTTTCACTTGACATCCAAAAACTTACATATTAACATCCAAAAAATAACAATTTTAGATTATAAACATAGTAAAAAAATAGAAAATTAGGAATCACCGGTTTACTTGAAATAAATAATATACATACATATGTATGTATAAATATATATATATATATATATATAATTTACTAATTAATATATATAACGGGTATGGGACGAGGCGGGGAGTACCAAATCCGTCCTCATCCCCAATTTGAGACAAACGGGGATCCTCGTCTCCGTCCCCATCTCCGATTTAGCGGGGAATCCCCGTCCCCGACCGTGACGGGTCGGGCCCATTCCCATGACTAGAACCCCTATGAAAACCCTAATATTGTTACAAAATTTATAGCCATTAAATAAGTAAAAGAAAAGATTTATTCAAAAGAAATTATTTTTCTGCACTTCCTCAAATTTCAAATCTCCATTTTTGTTGTTTTTCTATAATGGGTAGGGTTTCACAGTGATCATACTCTATATGAGCATCTACGTTTTTTTTTTTTTTTTTTTTTTGCAAATCCATAAGTTTAATATCGTATTCTGTTGTTTATGTAACAACTTTGTGCTAAGATAATCGACTAATTTAAAAATTGGAAAGTCTGCATTGTTCATGTAGATTTTAGTGTTATGTCCGGATAAAATTATTGTATAGAAAGAGATATAAACCTCATGCACTTTGAATTTGAACATTGTGAAAATGCGATAGTTGTGTGAGAGGACACAAACAAAACAATGAACATTATTTTTTCCAATTGATGATAAAAATTATTATGATAAAAGCATCTTCAACATATCTTTTAAAATGAAGATTTCGAACAAGTTTTTATTCAAACAAATTCTAAAAATGACAAAAAGTATAAGGGGTTGTTTGGCAAATACTGGATGATTGAGCACAGAATGATTAAGAGACTCTGGATGATTCAGAAAATGGTTGTCTGGGAACTGTTCTGAATCAACAGTTTGAATGACATAAAATTACCATTTTACTCCCCGTCTTGTGTTTAATAAAATTAATGTTTGACGTGAGTTTTAATGGAAATTTCTAAATGAAAAATAGAAAATAATTAATGGTCCAAGCCAATGCATGATATCATAGCAATCCAAACAAGTCTAACAATTGTTTGTTCAAGTTTTGGCATAACAAAACATCACATGAAACGCAAGTTCAAACCCAATATGTTGAGTACAACATCTAATTTGAAGCATTTAACACCTCACTACGCAAATTAGCCATATACTCATTGTCTTGGGGACCCCAAGGCGTTGCGTCTATCTCTTCTTAATTCTTCGCCTCCGTCAATTTGTTCTTGTGCTTCATTGATGAACATGGGGTTATTGTTGTAATCCATGAATAATTGATCTTGCATATTGCATCTTCTTATAAAGTTGTGGATCGCGAAACAAGCGATTGCAATGTTTCTTTGTATTCAAAAAGGATAAGGGGACATTTGTATCACCTTTATTTGTGGGGTGTTTATACATGAATTTTGTGCCTCTTGACTATACTTTAGTAGTTGCACTGCTAATAAATAGTCAAGCATTTGTTACTCGTGTTTTTTATAATCGTCATATTTGAGATTGAGGGGTGTGGGTTACCGATTCGTTTGTTCCCAATGCCAATGAGAGAATTTGATGTTATGGTGGGCATGGATTTGCTAGCAGAAATCAGGTCAGTATTGTGGGTAATAAAAAGATGACTAGTATTGATTTATAGGAGAAAGGGTCGATTTTGATGTGTTAGTGAGTCATTTCATGGAGGAACCAATATACTCACAGTTTAAAGCTATTAAAAGAATTCTTCGATATATTCGAGGAACGACGTCACTTGGGTTGCTCTATACAAAAATGGAAGCTTATAAATTAGTGTGTCACTCCAATAGTGATCGGAGCGGAGATGTAGATGATCGAAAAAGCACATTGAGGTATGTATTATTACCACCCTATATTAGATGTGTGTGGATGCATGTTGAGTCACTATTGAACTCAGTTTTGCATGTTTCAATATTTGATAATGTAAAATGTTATTGTTGATAACCATTGTCTTCAGTGCAGCTTATGCACACAAAATAATCCCCCAGTCGATCATGAATGGTCTGGAGTCATATTAGATTAACCTTCATAGCTACAAGAGCTTTGACAGTGCATGGATTCAATTCCATGGTAGATCATATTTTTCACTACATCTACCATGAGTTTAAATCTATGCATGGTCAAAGCTCTTCTGGCCATATATAGAGGTTCATCTGCAATGATTCTAGGTTATTCGTGGTTGCCTGCAAGGTTAGTCGTGCCTAATATGTTGATCTATGTATTCAGAAATCGTTTTCTATCGTTTTCTTATTTTTCAAATGAGTTGTGTTAAAATGTCATATGTGCATATTCAAGATTTCTTCCACCTTTTTTCGTTGAAGCAACATAATGTTTCAGTTTTCTCTTCCAGGTGTTATCACGTGATAAATGGAAAATACCCTTTATCTTTTTCCATGATATTTAATAATTAGCCACCATGGTCCATGAACTTGTAAAAAATTAATAATTTACTGGTTTCATTTATAATATATATATATATATATATATATATATATTGCATGGGGAGAATGAAGATCAAACCCACATACCCGTAGAGCGGAAAACAGGAAATGGATCATATAGAAATGTATTCATATCCTTCTTTTTAAATCCAAATCGCTTAATATAGATCAGTCACATTGAAGAAGAAGATACCAATTTCTGGACAGTGGTAGGGCGACAGGTGTTAGGCAATAATTGGCCAGACCAGGCTGAGTCAGCAATCAATGAGCTTACAACGTGTCCAGGGTTGAATAGATCCCACCATACATAGGTTGAAGGGTCTTCACAAACCATGTTCATGGACATGCACCCACTCATCCCACCATCCATCCCTATCCCACAACATGCACGCTTCACATTCTCTATTCCTGCAAATTTGATCAGAAACTAAATGCATAATAGAATCCTTTGATCGATTTGAGTAAAAAAGTAAAGAATTTTTAACATTAAACCGGCCAAACCAAGTCAAATATTTGACTTGGTTCGGCCGGTTTGAACGATCCGATGGTTTTCTCATTATTAATGTACCATAGGCGGTTGGGTTATTTATGATGTCCATCATCAGGTGATAAATGTCACAGAAAATCAACTCAGCATCGTTTAATTCTACGTTGAGGCTAACGATACGTTGCTCTAGATATGTATTATACTTCGAAACAAAATCGTTGATCTCATCGGCACAAACCACCCTATTTCCACGGTGGCCACCACTCCCTGAATCATTCGTCAAAGGCAAAAACCTTGGTGCACATCCTAAAGGCAGAATCCCCATAAATACAAACTTCCTCACACTTGAACCATAAAGATACTGAACAGCATTAGTCATTTGATCCACCAAAACACGGGACAGCTTTTCGGCATCTGATCCCGGACCCTTGGCAGAGTTGCTACGGAAGAAATCAATGTAGTCATCTTTGCCAAAAGAGAGGTAGAAGAGGGTGGAGGATTGGATGAAGTCGTTGGCAGTTTCTTGGCCAAGTTCTAGTTGCAGTAACTGAAAAATCTCAAATGCTTGGCGAAGCTGCTGGTTGAGGGACTGGAGGACTGGGTTGGTCGGGTTACTCATGATGGTGGCTCCGGTTGACCCTAGGTTTATGCCACGTAAAAGCACCTCCGTTGATCCATTCTGGCTATAAAATGGTATGGGATATGGCAATCCAATCCTTTTTGCTACATTAACAATGAGAAAACGAGATTACCAAGAACTGGGATTGATGAAGATGAATAAAGATTCATGAAAAAGAACACCAAATCAAGAAAATGAGGTGAGAAATTACCAAGAAGGTGTGGAAGAATGGAAGAAGGACCACCATCGCAAGGGTGTAAAGAGAGGTTATTAAGGAGAAAAGGAAAAAAGAGTGTGTTTTCTCCACAATCAACAGATGAATCCCCCAAGATGTACATTGCCTTCATCTTGCTCATTGTTGCCATGTTGCTGCTATTCACCATCTGTATGAATGTTGTGGTAACAATATGAAGAAGAACAGATTTCATTCTCATTGTTCTTCTATTCATTCTCTTTTTCTTTCCTCCTATTTATTGCTCTAAATGGTGTCCCTAGCTATATGTTGTCTTTCCTTTCAAATTCAGGGTTATTATACTTTATGTATTATTTTTTATTTTTTTATTAACCTGGATATCCAACCCACTATGCGAGCCGACTAATCCCAGGACGATCATCTGCTTTGCAGATAGAATGGAGTCACTGCATTTGAACCTGCGTGGCCACAATGGGATTTTTATTCCTCCTTGGATTTGAACCTACAAATCATGATAATAATAGGAATAATAAGAACATCAACTTGTCAAAATTCAGAAACTTGTAGGTCATCAAATTTTCTCCGGTTTCAACCTCAATGACATGTTGAGGTGCATGTATAAATCAACCGAGTTAGGTTCGTCATGAATTTTACGTTGAGCTATTCGTGACTTATTTACAGATTAATCAAATTGATAGAAAATTAGTACTTCATTTAATCTTGAGAATTAACTTTATTAACATAATTATAGATTTAATATCATATATGTTAATATAGTTATGTGTTTTTTGATCCATCCATCCACTTAAACTAATTGTACACGTCTATCATAGCAAAATAGAGATAAAGTTGATGAAGAGATGACTTGAAACGAAAGAAGACTTACGTCTTTAAGTTTAACTCAGACATAACTTCCTTTTTTTTTATACGTTCGTTGAAGAAGCATCAATGACTTGTTCAAATGGTTGTGATTTCCTTGAGGTATTTAGATGTATTGACTTCAAATTATGCTTTGATTTTATCGAATAATGCATCGATAGGCAAGGACACATCTCACCATACTAGTATGTTTTCCGAGTCTCTTAGAAAGGTTAAATTAATGAAGCAATAAATTGCCTTTCATTGTTCGTTTTTAGGATAATCTCATATCATTATTTAGGATTACTTAATTAGAACTCAACTTTAGTAAAGTTTTGTATCTATAGCGGTAGCAAAACTTGCGGCAATAAGAAATTTCAATACAATCATAAACACAACAAATATAAGAGACATTATATGTTTGCGTGTTTCAGTGAACACATACATATATTTGTTGGGGCCACGTCCCAAAAATGACCAATTCACTAATCTTTGAAACGTTACAAGATAGTAGGTTTGCACTTGCAATAGAATTATTCCATCAATGTAACTTGATCTTAATAGCTTTCGTCCCTTAATTTGCATACCGTTCAGACCACGTGTAGTCTAATAAGGTCAAATAGTTTCTTTCTAAAGTTATGTATCAACACCTTTCTCAAAACTACATATATAAGAAAATATTGTTTAAGAAGCCAATAGTTTTGTTATGTTGCAACCTCTAGAAAAAACTTCAGGTGAGAACAATATTGAGTTTGCCAAAACACTCATTGTTTTAAGAATTGTTATCAAGAGGAAAAGTAGCACAAACTCCTCTATCATCATGACAAACTCCTCTTATAAGAATTGTTAGCATTCGATATAGATGTTGCTCCACGGAAAAACAAAGTAGAAGAAACCGAAACCAAACACTCGATTTCTCAATCATACTCAAACCGAATTAAAACCAGTATTGATAATAAACAAGCAACCAAAGTAAATAAAAAGTAGAGACAATACAACAGAGATTTATGTGGTTCAACAAGTTTCCTACATCCACACCAGAAGAGAGAGCTATTTTGTATTAGGTTAATAATCGACCTCCATTTCCCTTTACAAGATATATGTGTTCTTCCTAATTTCTCACTTTTCTCTCGTCTTACCGCTCTCATCTCCTGGGCGAGCTTTACATATACAGAGAATGGGCCTATTTGACCATGGGCCAAGTCTTGGGCTTTTTAATAATCAGAAGGTTCTCCTGCATAAGACGTGCCCATGCCTTATAACAAAACATCTTATGTCCAACTCTTCAACATAACAAACGAGTTCCTTGAATAAGGCGTGTCTACACCTTATTATAAGACATCTTCTTCCCAACACACTTACAATTCTCCACCTCGTTCAACATTTGATAGACCTCAAATTTGGATGATCACCAACGAAAAATTGCACACCCTTGATATGTAGAACTTAACCACCTGCACCATTTAATCGTGGTTGCCTACGTACACTTACATGGATCAAGCCACCGTAGTTCATTCCAATGCTTGCATCATTTGACCATGATTTCTTATGTACCCATACCTAGGATCAAGCCGCCGTAGGTCATCTCATCAGGTGATGCCTTTACCTCACCCTGACAGTGACCCATAGGGCTATTGCCCCATAAAGGTAATAAACACCAACTGATATTAAAAAAGTCCAAGCAATGCTTAAACTTGCCACCAGGTACCCCTTGGTTAACATGTCTGTGGGGTTCTCATCTATGTGCACCTTTATAAGAGAAATATTACCATCCTCTATGGCATCCCACACAAAATGATATCTGACATTTATGTGTTTGGTACGAGCATGGTAAACTTGATTCTTAGCTAATGGAATCACATTTTGAATATCGCACGACAAGTACACACAATCCTACTCAAACCCTAAATCATCTAAAAATCCCCATAACCAAGTGCTTTCTTCACTCCCTCTGTCATAACCATATACTCAGCCTCTATAAAAGAAAGTAACACTGTTGCTTGTAACATCGATCGCCAACCAACTAGAGCACTATATATTTTAAACACATAACTAGTAGTAGATCGACATCTATCCAAATCACAAAGTATGATCTGAATCCACAAATCCGGTAACCGGACATGTATCTCCACCAAAACATAAAGCCATATGAATCACGCCTTTCAAATATCTCAAGACCCATTTCACCTCTTCTGAATGTGCCTTTCTCGGGTTCACCATGAATCTACTGACCACACTAACCGCTTGTGAAATATTTGGACGTGTACACACCATGGCATACATCAAACTGCCGACTTCATGTGTACCTTCTCTTCTGTTGTAGTAGGAGACTGTCTGCTAGAAATCCTAAAATGTGGAGCCAATAAAGGCACCACTAACCTAGCATCTTTTATCCGCTCAATGTAGCCTTTCTTGCTCAAGAACAATTGATGGCTCAAGACCACTTTTTTACACTTAAACCTTCACAGTAAACACTGTGAAGGTAACTTTCACGGTGTTTTTGCTGTGAAGGTAACCTTCATAGTGTTTTTTCTATGAAGGTTTTATTTTTTACCTTCGCAGTGTTTTATTGTGAAGTTTCAAGTGTAAAAAAATGGTCTCGATCACAGGTCTCATGAAAACGTCTTTCGTGAACCCAACCCTATAGACAAATATAGTATATATATACATACATATATATATATATATAAGGGTGAGTTCATTCGTTAACCCAATATATAGTATTAACTTTGTAAACCAATCTTATCCACTGATCTTTGAAATTTGTGGCTGAGATTATTCAAGACATAAAATGTAAATAATTGCACACATAGACAAGGTAACATAAGTGAACAATTACAAGGGGTATTTTGATACACTATGTAATCTCGTTCTATATAAAATAAATACATACATTATGTAGTCTCGTTCATATATAAAATAAATATGGAATGATACATGGTTCACCTATGAACAAACATCAAATTGTGCTTATGAACAATGTTCTTGTGTTTACTTCTAAACACAATTCAATTTTTTTAAATAAAGAAAGATCAAATAAAAAATTACATTTTTACCCTTATTAAATAAATTTATCATGTGCATCAACCAAAAGTGTATCTTGTTTTCTATTGCTTCATTGAGATTTGTAAAGTTAAGCTAACACATTTTAATTAATTAACAAAAGATATTACATCTATATATATCATGATCATGTATAGTGCATTGTATATATATGTATGTCAACGCATATATAATGTATACATTCATAATATATAAAGGTATACATTCATATTATATATATATATATATATATATATATATAAAGGATCAAACAAGAACATGGTTAAAATTAGAGGACATGAGAACGACCAACGCACATGTGATTTTGTAGTGAAATCACATACAATTATGGAACATGGCAAACACAAGCAACCAAATTCAGTGTTATATGTATTCAGATTAACATAAGAAATCCACCTGTTGCAACCATATTTTCTTTAATAAATACCATAATTCTAAGGAAATCCAAAAACCATATCCATTATGTTTAGATGAATGGTGCAATCATATTCATCATCAAAACCATGTTCATGAAACATACTTCATAAACATGTAGTCTACAAAACTTCATGACAACAAATATATAAAACAAATTTAAAGGTTATAAAAATGTAGACTTTAAGACTGTGAAACATTTCATCAAACACTTGGTATGTACAGGGAAAATTCCATTGTTATTCAAGATTATCCACTTATAAAACCTACGTTCATTAACTAAACAATTAGACAATGTCATTAAAGATCATAAGATCATAATTTGTTATTCCAAACCTTTTTCCCCGTTGTTGGCGTTTGTTGATGTTGGTTTCGCCTATCTACTACTAGATTTGATGATAAAGTTCTTGGTTTCATTCTCTTCTTCTTCATCATCGTCTATCAGAACCAAGCTATTCAGTGTTCTTGAAGTTTGAAAGCGAGGACTTCAACATGATTCTTTCGCTTTTTTTTCTTGGCAAATGAACAACAAGAACCAAATATTATTATTTTCAGGATGAAATATACATACAACTTGATATCTATACTGACTTAAATTGATTTCAAGGTTTATTTGCCTCTAATTTCTTCATTCATGATTCAATTTTGATTTCCTTCGTCCATATTCTGAATTATCTTTCTCGGAAGCAATCTTCCTGGGCAGTATATGACATTGAACCTGACTTCCCGCTTGCTATCTCAAAATACTGAGATTCCATGAAATTATTATTCTGAATTTACCCTTAATTGGTTTATTTTTTAGAAAATAAATTGAAAAAATATTAATCAATTACCCTTTCCAAATGATAAAATCCTGACCATAGATGAAATAATGGTCGTTGCATTGGTTGTAACAATTGAAGAGGT